AATCATCCATTCGATCATCCTAAAAAATTTCGCTACTGAAAATTTTAGAAAAACATATGGTTCCAAGCATCTGTTTATCATCCTCCACGAAATATTTGGAAATTAAAAAGAACCGTAAGCCAAACTTTGGACAAACCATACCATAAAGCCTGAAACGATGCTGCCCTCTGGCTCAATATTATCATCAACATTTTCAACCATTTCCAAGTCGCGCCTTATGTCATCGCCGGTTATTGCCCCAGTATCATGTGCGCGAACAACGAGCTGAGATCGGTAGATCTAAAAATTAATTATTTGCAGATGCTAACAAGTGAAACGAAACAAATGAATTACAAAACAGTACAAGTCCATTCACTCACCTTCAACAGATTGAACGCTCGCAGATGAGGGCAACCGGGATTTACAAAAAGTTTGTCAGCAATTCCAGTCTCCTTCAGTTTCATCAGTTTCCTGGTTGGTGGTGCGAGGTCCAACGGTTGAACGGTGTCTCTGAAATTGTCCCTTTCAAAAGCCTTTATTTGTTTCAAAGCTTTTTAAAAACCAATGGATGATTTCCAAAAAACAGTTGGTCTCGAGGAGAAAGTCTACTGCTGAGCATATCCCCCTCTTTCCCTTATCAAAATCTCTACGGTGTATTTTGTGTCAAAATTTTGTAGGACTGCTTTTGCGCAAAGTAAATGTGCAAGAAAGCTCGGGTCCTCGCAGAAATTAAACCACGATCATGCAAATCATTAAATGTCACGGCAAACGACAATTATCACCCGAATTATACTAAATGCTAAATAAATAGCAGCGCGCACCGAAATAGCCACTGCGATCATGCGTTTTGTGCAATTCTGTCCACCGAACGATTGCCTGTTAATGATTTTCATTGCTTTGTACTTTAGTCTGTGCAAAAAAAATTGAAACGCCGAAAAATAGTTAAAAATTTCACCAACAGGCATGTGAAAGCTAAATTTGAAACTTCGAAAGGTGAATCTCCTTCCAAAATTTCAATCTAATTTTCTGGCCGTCGAGCGATCTTTGAGACAAAACTTTCAAGTGGTCGTACGCGAAACCTTGACACACTTAGAAACTGAATTCGAGTTTGTGATGCCTTTGCTTGGACAGGAAACATTCTCCTGAAATTTCCAGTCTCCTAGCACTTTTGGCTCCCGAGACGATTTTTCCCGCCAAAAATTCCAGGGTTACGTTAAAAATTTGCGGAGTTGCACGTGAGCAAGGGATGCCACGCTGAAACTTCAGCTTCCTAGATCCTGCGGTTCCCGAGATGATAATTTATCCGCAAAAATTTTCACGGGCCGCAGGTGATACACGAGAACGCGAGAACGCTGAATATGATATTGCAAGACTGTTCGTGAGCAGGGGTAATGACCCTAAAATTTCAGTTTTCTAGATTCTCCCTGAAATAAAATTTACCCGTCAAAATTTTCACTGGGCCATACGTGTTACCTGTAGAGAGGGGAAAGCTGATTTTAAATTTTCTGGGTAGCACGTAGGTGAGGAACGTTCTCCTAAATTTTCAGCCTTCTAGTTTCGGCGGTTCTCGTGATAATAATTTTACCTGCCCAACTTTTACGGGGCCGTTCATGTTATCCGCGGGAGGCTGAATTTAAATTTGCGCGGTGGCAC